ATCTCTCTCTGGTAGAAGATATCATCATAAGGGTCTACAATTCTTATATACAATACCCAGCATACAGTAAAATGTACCATACATTCAAAGAAACAGGAAAGGTAATCAATAACCAAAAAATAAAATAAAATAAACACAAACCCACAGATGATTGAGATAATGAAGTTGTAATAAAAGTATAATACAGTAAGTATTGTCAAAGAAACACACAGAAAATATTAAAAGATTTCAACAAAGAATCAGAATCTACAAAATAAAACAAAAGGATATTTTAGAATTGAAAAATGTAATTTCTGTATTTAAGAACTCATTGGATGGGTTTAAGAACAAACTGGACATAGAAGAGAGGATCAATGAATTCAAAGGAAGATTGATAACAACTATTCAAATTGAGCCACAGAAACTAACCTGGAAAGCAAGAGTATGTCCAAATGTGAGACATACTCAAACACTGTAATATACATATAATGGAGGTCCAAAAGGAGAGAAAGGAAGAGAGAATGGAGCAGGAACATTATTTGAAAACGTAGGACTGAGAATTTCCAATAATGATGAAAGACATAAACCCACCATTTCCAAGAAGTTTAACAATCCCCAAACATGATAATACAATGAAAACCATAACTGACACATTATAGAAACTGTTACAAAACAAAGATGAGAAATTCTTAAAAGCAGCCAGAAGTAAAAATACCCATTGTATTAAGGAGAGCTACCGTAAGATTGACAGCTAACTTTTCAAATGAAACTATATGTGGTGGCCATTGAAATGTGTCATTTAGATCTTCCTTCAAGATATCCTGTTGCAGGCACCATATCTGATGGACAGCTGTTGCACTTTTGGATCCAATGAAATCTTCATGTCATATCACACTTCCTTTGGGCTGCTTCCAACCAATGAATAAGCACAGTTAATAGAACCAGGTCAAAGAGTTTTCTAACAGCTTTCGCTTGGGAGATCTCCATTGGCCTGTCTAAGCATTTCTCAGAACTGTTCTATAGTCTGAGTTTCTTCTGACCAAATCCTTCCTCTCTTCTTTCATGGATGCCACAACTTCCTGGTTGTCTGAAGGTTCTCCTTACTCTACTCTTCCCTTTCTCATTTTATCTTTCACAGGCATTTTCCCTAAATACATCTGTTGCATTTTTAATCCTATCATTATTTTTTCTTTTTGTGGAACTCAAACTGACATACCATCAAACTCAGAAGACAATATAATGACATTTAAAGTGGTGACAGAAAAAACAAACAAACTGCTGAACCAGAATTGCTAGTGAAATTATTTCCTTCCAGCAGAAATAAAGAGACTCTGGAAACAATGCAGATATCTCTCAGTAGATACTATGGAATATTGTTCAGCAATAAAAAGGAATGAACTATGAACTATTGGTGCATCCAGTAACCTGGATGAATCTCCAGAGAAAATTAGGTTGAATGAGAAAAAACAATCCCCAAAATTTACCTGGTATAGGCTTCCATTATTATAACATTCCTGAAATAGCAAAATTATAGAAATGCAGAACAGATTGAGGGCTGCCAAAGATTAAGGAAGGGTTATGGATGGGAAGAAAGTGTGTATGGTTATAGAAGTGAAAATAAAGGATCTTTCTGATACAGAAAAAAAATAAAAAATAAATAAAGAGAATCCTTTGCCAGTAACACACCACTGAAGTAAATACTCTAAGGGATTCCTTATCTAAATGGAAAATTTTCTTGGTTAGAAACAGAAATTTGAAGGAAAAGAAAAGCACTAAAAAAGCATATGTGAATAAATATAAAAATACTGTTTACAGCAACAATGATAATGTCTTTTGTTTTATTTTATTTGTGTGTGAAAGAGAAACTGAGGGGAAGGGGCAGACAGAGAGGGAGAGAGAGGAGAGAGAGAGATAATCTTACACAGGCTCCACACCCAGCATGGAGCCTGATGTAGGGCTCAATCCCATAACCGTGAGATCATGACCTGAGCAGAAATCAAGAGTCTGATGCCTAAACGACTGAGCCACCCGGGGCCTCGACAATGTCTTTTGAAGTGTAGAACATATAGCATAAAATATATGACAACAGTAACACAAAAGGTAAGACAGGGCAAATAAAATCAAGTTATCAAATTCTTACATTCTTCAGGAAATGTACCAGTAAAGTAGACTATAACAAGTGTAGGGTGCATGTTGAAATCTCTAGGGCAATGACTCAACTGAGAGCAATTTTTCCCATCAAGAGATATCTGGCAAATAAGTAAATAAATGACACAGAGAGAGATTAAGAGAAAGAAAAAGAGAGATTTGGCAATATTTGGAGAATTTTTTGGTTGTCACAACTATAAAGGAAGTATCAAAAGCATCCTCAATTGAGAAACACTAGCTAAAAGACAGAGATCATCAGAAAAAGACAGATTGTCAGATTGTCAAAATAACAACAAAAATGATCAAACTATATTCTGTCTCTAAGAAACTTATTTCAAATGTAATGATATGGTAGGTTAAAAGAAAAAGGATAGAAGAAGAGAGTCTTTGCAAACTCTGGCCAAAGAAAGCTGAGGTGGTTATGTTAATATCAAACAAAGAAGACTGCAGAGCAAAATAATTCATTAGAGATGAAGGGAGCATTACATAATGATAAGAGTTTCATTTCACCAAGAAGACAAAACAATCCTAAATATGTTTTTACCTTTAACAGAGCTTCAAAATGCATGAAGTGAAACTGAGGGAATTAAAGACAAAGAGCAAAAATCCACAGTTATATCTGGAGACTTCAAGTTGCTCTCTCAGTAATTGACAGAACTAATAGAAAATCAGCAAGATTGTAGATGAACAGAATAACACTATCAACCAACTGGATCTCATTGAAATTTTTAGAACATTCCACTACCAACAGCAGAATGTACATTCTTTTCAAGTGTACATGGCACACTCATCAAGACAGATCATATCCTGGGTCATAAAGCAAACCTTAACACATTTAATTTTTTTTTCAACGTTTTTTATTTATTTTTGGGACAGAGAGAGACAGAGCATGAACGGGGGAGGGGCAGAGAGAGAGAGGGAGACACAGAATCGGAAACAGGCTCCAGGCTCTGAGCCATCAGCCCAGAGCCTGACGCGGGGCTCGAACTCACGGACCGTGAGATCGTGACCTGGCTGAAGTCGGACGCTTAACCGACTGCGCCACCCAGGCGCCCCAAACCTTAACACATTTAAAAGAATTGAAATCACATAAAGTATGTTCTCTGATATAATAGAATTAAAATATAAATAATAATAGAACGATAATAAGAAATCTCCAAACTCTTGGAAATTAAAGAATACCCTTTTAGATAAATCCATACATCAAAGAACACCCTAGAGAAATTAAAAAATATTTTAAAATGAATAAAATACAACATATCAAAATTTATGTGATGAGTAAAGCAGTGCTGCAAAGGAAACTTATAGCATCAAATCCTTACAGAAAGAACATTAAGAAACTAGAAAAGGGAGAGCAAAATAAACTTAATTTAAGCAGAAGGAAGGAAATCATAAACATAAAAGCAGATGCCCATGTAATTGAGAATAAACAAACAAAAAACAATAAAGTCAAAACAACCAAAATCTTGTTGTGTAAAAAGGTCAAAAAAATATAAATTAACCTATAACAAAACTGACCAAAAGACAAAAGAAGACACAAATTACAAATATCAGAAATGAAAAAGAAAATATCACTAGAGACCCTGCAGACTGTAAAAGGATAAAAGGGATACTTTGAACAACTCTACAGACAAAAATTTGACAACTTAGATGAAATGAACCAATTCCTCAAAAACCACAAATACGTATCCATGATAATAGAGATAATATGAATAGTCCAAAACTAATTTTTAATTGGATTTATAGTTTGAAACCTGGAAAAAAAATGTATCCAGAATTTCTTTCGGTCTATAGTGGGAAGATTTCAGGTTATTTTAGCTCACTGTATTACTAGTCATGGAACTCTTCTAAGTTTTTTGTAAGCCCGTTTGAATTGAGTTTTCTGTTACTTAAAGAAAGACTTCTTAAACATCATAGTTCTGTGACATTTGAAATAATATTGTAGTTGTTAAGTGTACAAATGCAATACCGTGATGACCTAATGTAGTAATTATAGAAATACTGGCAGTAGTATCATTATGGTGTAGTGGCATTAGTAGTTAAATAATAATAATTATAACTAAGAGATACTAAGCACTTAACCTGTGGCACCCTGCAAAAAAAACTTTGCATTTGCAAAGTGTTGTAGAAGAGGAAACAAATATAGACATTATTAAGTAAAAGAGTAAAAACACAGTGAAATGGAGTATCAGGTGGGCCTTTCTGTAGATTAGTTTTCTTCCCAGCCTACTGTCTGGTTGTGATCCTTCTACTCTGGGATAGAATGGGACTAGAACAATTATCATTTTTTTCTACCCATGCGAAAATGCCTTAATGACATGCCCGTGGTCTTCAGGAGAATGCTTCCAGTCCAAGAAAAAACAAGTTCTGGCAGCATCAAGATCCTGCCAAGAAAGTAAGCCAGTTTTGTGTTTCTTCAGCCAGGATTTGCCCTTTCCACCAATTAGACCATAGAGTCATAAACTGTACTTGCTGAAAGCCTCCAGTGCCAGGTAACACACACACATACACACACACACACACACACACACACACACACACACATACACACACCATGAACAGTGAATGAATGCAGAGTGCCTAAGAAAGGTCCCAGATTAATGGGAGGAACATCTCAATGGGGTGGTCAGTCTCTAATATATTAATAACCTTCAAAAAGAATATGCAAGTTCATCTTGTTTACTTATTGAAATAAGAGCCTGAAAGGGCTGTTATGCAGTGTTTAGCAGTATTCCCATAAGCTTGCTAACTTCAAGTAAGTACTTTTCATTAACCTGAAAGTTGAAAGAAAAACTTACATGCAAGTTAACTGCAAAAACAAAAAGATAAGCACCACTTATTTCTATGCTTTCTCCATTCTAATGAGGCAATAATCCAAGAAACCACATTCTTGCCCTTATAAATCAGCTACCAACATGAATGTGATTCTTCAGCTATGAGAAAATGTATTTTGAAGGATACAGGTTAGTTAATATTGGAAATTCTTGTGTACGTTGGGAGATAACACTATTTGCCCTGATAAGGACCAGTACTTTTTTTTCCTTGATAAAGACCAGTGCGTTTTTCCTCCTTTTTATCTGGCCTTGTCAAAAATCAGTCATACATTCTTGCATTTTCCCTTTTTATCCTTCTTGCCCTTGCTAATTTGGGGGTTAATGCCAGTAACACATTTTCCTGATACAGTGGTGAATATAATATAATCCAGTATTCTTGTCCCATATGTTAAATACAATCTTGAAACAGGAAAAGTTTTTATTTAGGAACAATAAATAAAAGTTACAATGTACAGTAGCTACAAAGCAAGAATATACTAACTGTGCCAGTGAAAGTATTTGGCTTTATGACTTTGAAATCTCTTACTGTAAATCAATTCACTGGTGTTAATGTTTATACTTCAGATGGAAATATGATGGATAAAAAGAAGAGGGAAGGAAGGAAGGAAGGAAGGAAGGAAGGAAGGAAGGAAGGAAGAGGAAATTGGCAGATGGTTAGAAAAAAGAAAGAGAGAGGGAAGGAAAAAGGGGAGAAGAAACCCAGGTTGGGATTAGGGTACCTGGGAGAGTAAGCCAACTTTGAATCCTATTAAAGGAAATACAGCTAACCATGGAATTTCCAGCTACCTGTTCATTACTATTTGGAAAGCATTGCTGACATATGTAAATTTGCTCTAAGTAAAAAAGGTTCTATCCTGTGAATTCAGTGGGCTTTATGCCTGGGATACAGAGAGTTCTCAGTAAATATTTGGTAAATAAATAAGTGAACAAGGAAACATACAAGTTTCTTTTTATGTATTCATAAAACTGAAGCCTACTTGTTTAGTGAGTTGCCCAAAATCATAAAGAAAATCTTAGGTTCCTAAAGCATATTAGATGGAAAATGTAAGAAAGATAATCAATTGGGACCTAAGAGATATAGATTCTGGTTCAGGGTTTGTTTTGTCATTTCACCTCTCTGGGGCTCTAAATTGCAGAAGGAAGGGACTCAACTACATTGTTTTCTGCTGTACCTTCAATGCTTAGCACAGTATCTAGTATATACCAGATGCTCAATAAACATTTAAATACTTAACATTTCCCCATCTGTAAAATCTAGTTTCCCCAATAAAAATTAAGATGTTGATACCAAGCCTTTCTGAGTGCTTTTTCCAATTCTATGTCACTGTGAGAAAGGTTGCTTGTTCCAGTCCTCATTTCATCCTCCACTTTCCAACTTCTGCTCAAGTTGTACAGGAAGGCAAATATAGGTGAGTGAGGTTCCAACACCCTTTCTCCAATGTTATACCATCATCCTTCTGAGCTCTTATTTCTACAAGAAAAACCACAAAGATGCAATTTTAATTAAAAGCAGTGAATCAATTACTTCATTGTGTATTCTGTAAAATGAATTCCAGAATCACCACAGACCTCCCAATCTCACAACCTCAGCAGTCAAAGATTTCCCAAACTTTCACATTAGGTGGTTCTCGTCATTCTTCCCTAGAGGGGAAGCCAAGGGACATTCTTTCTCCTTGTCTTCTGGGGGGTTCAATAGCAATAAACAGGTTGGAATAAAACAGCAGCAACAATGCTTTATGTATTACAGGATAGTGTCCTTGAGAGAGATGAATTCTCCCACACTATTATAGGGAGTCTTTCCTCCTTCTTGCATAATACTGCCCTAGTGAGAAAAATAGCAGAAAATCCTGAAGCATAGGCAAGAGAATCCATAGAATTGTCAGCACAACCTTCCCGTTTGTCCAGAGAAGGAGGGGGACCCAACTTCCCAGAAGACCCACCCATGTTTCTCCTTTTTTGCGGACTCCTTTCCTGAGGAAAGAAAGCCCTGACGGTGGCTCACTCTCAGTGACTTTAGGGTAATGTATACTATTCTGAGGAGGGGCCTAGTCAAGGAGTCAAGAATTCCAATTTGACTTCTAACAAACTGTGTGACTGAAATAGTTCCTTTCCTCTCTGAGAATCAAATTCCTCAATTTTTAAAGCTTATTTGAACTTTTAAGTAGTTGTAAAATTCCTTTTTCAAAAATACCTTTCTTATTCTAGAAATAATACATAATATTGTTAAATTCTTTTAAACAAGACAAATTAAAAGAAAAAACACAATTATTCATAAATCTACCACCCAGTGATATTCACTGTTAACATTTTTGTGTATATTTTTGGATAAGACTGCTTGGGATTTTAGCATCATTGAATGTGTATCTCCTAGTGAAGGTTACCATTTAAAGTCTTCCTGAGGCTTCAGTTGTGCCAGTTGTGTCAGTTCCCTCAGTTACTGAGGGAATCCCCCTCAGTAACCATAGACTATGACAGCCTTTTGATAATTTTTTTTTAACGTTTATTTATTTTTGAGACAGAGAGAGACAGAGCATAAACGTGGGACGGGCAGAGAGAGAGGGAGACACAGAATCCGAAGCAGGCTCCAGGCTCTGAGCCATCAGCCCAGAGCCCGACGCGGGGCTCGAAGTCATGGACCGCGAGACTGTGACCTGAGCTGAAGTCGGACGCTTAACCGACTGAGCCACCCAGCCGCCCCTATGACAGCCTTTTGAATGCCCTTGGTGGTAAGTCATCTGAGTCTGCTTGTAAATATTGGAAAAGTCATTTGAAGACAAATCTGTATGATTAGAATGATCAAGGTGGGTACCTGTTTTGGAATTATTATCATTATTATCATTACTGTAAAGCTTAAAGACTATTTTTCACCTTCCTCTGGAATTTCCAAACTTTTGATGATTAAAGAAAAGAGACAGGGTAATGTATACTTCTGATGATTCAAGAAACGGGATACATTTCACTATTTTAGGGCATTTCCCAAGATGTTTTCTATGGCCCTACAGATGCTGGAGATGTTCCCTTGGAAAATAGAGTTGTGTGGTCAAAACAGTTTAGCAAAAACTACGCAATTTACTCCCTTAAAGACTCACAGTGCATATTTAATATATTAAAGTCTCTGAGATTCCTCTGCTAATAAACCCCTTTAATTTTCATTAACTGTGTTTCCTAAACGTATTCGAGTTCAAAACACTTACTTGGGAATTTCACATTAGTTTGCCCATCAGTCAGTCATGACAGATAGTATAGTTTGGAGAGCAAGCATGCAGATTTCTATGGGCACATGAGCTTAACCTCTCAGAACCTGAGGCTCCTCTAAGATAAAGATTAAAATCTTACCTATATCACAGGACCTTTGCAACTAAGTGAAACAAATCATGTGAAGAACATAGAGCAATACTGGCACAAATGTTCAAATAAATGTGAGATTTTATTATTTTTGTTTGAAAGAGATGAGATGTTGAGGACAGGATGAGGATGGACAAAATTTGTGGAGGAGGGGAAGGGTAATGAACAGTGATTCCTCTTAATTATTGTAGCAAGTTCTTGTCCAGACACAGGAAACCATTTTTTGGCATTAAGGCAATCTGGCTTCCAGAGAAGCCATCCCGGTACAGAACATCTAATACATTTTTTCTAAAATATAACATTCATATTTTTAAATTCAAAGCTGAACCAGCAGGAAAGAAGAGAAAATAACAAAAAAGTACAATCCAAAGAAGGAAGCAAGTACTAGAGGCTCATTTACAAGTCTCTAGTAGCTAACAATTTGGGTTTAATGGTTTATGCTCAAGTGGCAAAAGACAAATCCTGAAACCAGTGCAATGTGGGAGGCTGTGTTATAGACCACTGTATAAATTCAGTAGCCCCTAGAAGATAATGGAATAATGGGTAAAAATAATAAAGGAATGAGTGGAGGGAATACTGTGCTGTTTTATCCTTAGTTTTATATGGAGCAAAATAAGAGAGAAAAAAATTCCCCTTATAATTTGTAATTCACAATGAGCCCACCTTCACACAGGTTTGGAGTTAGAACCCATACTATTCAAGCACTCTCAGGTTGATGGTGCCATGAAACACCCAAGAGAAGCAAAAGCCTTTTCTTTCTTGAATTAAATTTTTAAAATCTTAAAGGCAGACCTCAAAGATACCCCAGAGGGATTTTAAAAGTCTCTAAGCCTATTTGGAAACAAATAATCATTGTCATGATGTGAATATTCTACAGAATCACCCCTAAACAGACAGAAGATAATGGAATTACTAGATATCAAATATAAAATTAAGCATAAAGAACTTTACAGCAGTATTTAAGGTATGAACATTGGTAGGCCATTGGTAGGCCAGTGGAAAAAAAAAACAAATAAAATGTTTAAAGATAAAAAAATTAATAATTAAAAATGAACCTCATAGGGAAGTTTAAACATTGGTTTAGAAACAGACGAAGAGAAAATTAGTGATCTGGAAAATAGATTTGAAAAATTACACAGAATGAAGCACTTTGAAAGAGAACCCAACAACTCAATAATGAGAGATTTTAATGTACATTTCTTAGTAATCGGTAAAGAAGCAAATGAAAAATTGGTAAATCTATAGAATAATTTACTGAATAATCCATCAGTTTGGATTTTTGATGCCTGGGAGGGATAGCATCATCAGATGCCATTCAGCCCATAGTGGGAACTATTTTACCTGTTTTTCCCCTGTGATAGTTAGCTTAACATGACTCTAGGGAAGGAGATTTTAAACCTCCTTTGTTCAAGAAGCCTCACTTTGTTCAAGAAGTCTTCCCACAAAACTCTCCTGGAATTAAGTATACCAGTAAGACATGTCTCTGTGACTTCTTGTTAATGTTTGTAATTTTGCATAAGTTCAGTTGTTTTTTTCTTTTATTTCTATTTGGCTTTCAATGTAATACATGCACATTATAAGCCAATGTGTGAAAATATATATAAGGCCCCCACCCAAAACAAAAAGAAAAAAAGAAAATTAAAATGATCCACGAACACATTATTCAGAGGTAAGCATTATTAGTATTTTATTATATTCTTGTCATTTTTCTATGTGTAATCTTGTTCACTCACTGTTTAACACTTATCACATGGCTCACACTTCATTTAAGCAGCATGGAGGTAGCAGTAGTGAAAAGTAAAGTCTCTGTCCTCTTGGCACTTACATTTTTTTCTGTACTTCCATATATGAAATATGCATATTTTCAATTTAAAAACAAATGAAGATAAAAGACCAGATGAGATACTTAGTAATTATTCATGTTATTCTATCCCTTATTTCCTCAGTGAGGAACTAGATAGCTGTAATCATGGTATTCTTCATATCACCAGGCAGAGTATGGTAGATGCAAAAGTTAAGAGGGTCAAAGGGAGCAGGGAAAAGGCAAAAGGCAATTGGGATCATGGGTCTCTCTCAATTTGGGGCAGGTCTTAGTGTATTGGCAAACCTAATGTATTGGAGGGGCACAGGAAGAACGGACTTGTAGTGTTTGCTAATTTCCATGGTACAAATACTCCCATGTATCCAATTTAAAGCTTTCATGTTTTAGAAAACATACTTATTACTAACCTTCAAGAGCTAGTACAAACCAGCTCCAGCACAAAATGCCTGGCCCTGATAGAACCCTTACATCCTCTGTCTCTTAGTTCTGGTGGTGCCCTGGAGAATGGAACCTTCTCTCAGCAGGAAGAAAAGAAAGAAGGCTGGGATGCTAGAGATCAACCTCACCAAATCCTCCTTTTGGTCTAATCCACTTTGCTTTTTGGAATCCTGTTCTGCTCCCTGGCTAATCAGGGGCTTTGCCTAGAACAAATGGAAGACCTACTATATACCTACTATGGTATTGTGTGGAACACAGAAAACGCACAGTTGTGATCCTCACTCTCCACCAGCTCACCTTATAGTGGAGTAGGGAATCAGAAATATTGCTTAGTGATTATTTAAAAATGCAGAGAAAATGAACCCACTTGGAGATATGATTATTTCCAAAAGTTCAGATGCAGTATAATGAGGTCTCTTACATCAGACATGTGACATGAGAGAATCAAAGCCCTTACTCTGTCATTTGAAGTTCTGTGGTTGTTTTTTGTTTTGTTTTTGTTTTGTCTTGTTTTTTGTTTGTTTGTTTTTTGCAGTTTCTATGGTCTTAAGCAGCTAATTAGTAACAAGAATTAAATAAGACAATGCATGGAAAGTCATCACATGGTGCCTGACACACAGTCAAGTACTCAATGCTACAGTTAATAACAGTATTGTTATCAATAATATTTATAGTACCACATGAACAAAGACAACAAAACAGAAAAGACTATAGCTATTTCATGGATTAGCCAGTAACTTGGTTTTTATTAAAATCTTTGTGATTAATGGAAGATTGCAAAATTATTATAAGGGCATTAAGAACCATGCTGAGGAGTTTGCACTTGTTTTTTGTTTTTGTTTTTAAGAGAGAAGTTCATGCAAGTG